GGGGGGGGCTGCTGTCTGTGCAGGTCCCCAGTGGTGGCTGCAGGGCCACGTGAAACACTTGTTCAGTTCAGTACTGGTTCAGTTGTTGGTTGAGGCCCAGCAAGCTTGGGAGGGGCACCGTGAGACTGGCAGGGGATACAGCATAGGGGCAGACCTTCCAGCCCCAGAGCTCTGCAGAAGGACTTGGAGAGCTGGGGAGAAGGGCCCCGACTCTTTCCCTGTCTCATTCACCGGAACAGGCTCTTACCTCAGGCACCTGCTCCAGAAAGGACAGAATTGACAGCTCTGTGTCCTCCCCTCAATGCCTGCCGACTGCCCAGAACCACCAGTCAGTAGTGACCGTTCCTGAGCAGTGCGCAGTCTAAACATCCTCGTGTGGCACTCTTTCCCGCAGGAAGCCTGGGTGTTTCCCTCTCATCCTGGGGTTCCCCAGGCCTTGACTGCACTGTGCACTGGGAGCTGGACACCTGGCTGGGCAGGGCCACCTGTGGGGAGAGGTCTGACTTAGAGGCGAATGCTGGGATGGCACGGTGTGTGGCGCCCACAGAGCGTGGCAAACGCATGGTGCATGGTGAGGAATGTGCACCCCTTTATATGTGTGGCCCCGAAGCATATACAGCACTTTCTCGTGTGCTTGGGATTGCACGAGGGGACTTTCTTGCCAAATTAGTCAAGCTGAGAAAATGGTCTCAGAGTGTCTACACTGGGTGGGGCCCTGTCCTGGGTATTTGTGTGTTTATGTGAGTTGGACCGCGTGCCCTGGTGTGTGCGGCTAAGAAGGGGGTGGGGCTGAGCCTTCTTTTCCTCCCCTGGAAGGCTCCAAGAAAGCAGAGATGGTGATTCACCAGCCCCACCCACCCTCACTGGGTCCAGCCACAGCCAGAGCTCAAAGAGGAAAGTTTTTTGGGGGGATGAGGTGGGAGGAGAATTGAGACCATGAGGGCTTGGCAAGGACTTTACTGGAACCCCCTGCAGTGTCCCCTGGAAATTTGTTTAGATTTGGTACCCCTCTTCTCCCCTCCATCTAGACTATGAATTCTTGTCCCTGGGCAAAGCTGGGGGAGAGAAGAGGGGAGGCATACTGGGGCTGGGGGTTGGGGGGGAAGGGGAGGGGGTGGGTGGAAAGATGGGAGGTGAAAACTGGGCCCAGGGAGGGGGCCGGGAGGCGGAGGAGGAAGTGGGGAAATGCAAACCAAATGTTGGCCCAGGGTACAGTCAAGAAAAACAGACTCTCGCGAGAGCCTGCAGCGGGGCTCTCTTTAGGAAGGGCAGGAAGGGCTGGGACAGATGTTTGGAGGAAAGAAAGAAAGAAAAAAAAAAAATAAGAAAAATTTGGAACAAAATCGCTAGCCTGGGGGCAGGGCCATTCTCCCCAAGTCTCAGGCCTGGTTTCTCTTGTGTTTGGACCTGCCGTTAGGCGTGTGGGAATGTGTGTATTGGGGGGGAGGTTAGGGGGGGCATATATTCGGGTAGGAGGCTGGGTGGGTGTACTTGGAGGTGGAGGGAGGCGCAGCAACCCCCAGTACGCCAACAGTCATGTCCGTCTGTCCATCCATGGCCTGGGGTGGGAAGCCTGCTGTGAGGAGCTCAGACTCCAGCATGGCCAGCCCAGGGGAGCCTTGGTGGCTCTTGGGGGCTGTGTGTCTGGAGCAGGGTGCAGGGTGGGGGAGCCTCCTGTCTCTAGTAGTTGCTCTGTGTCTGGTCTCCACACACCCTGCAAAGCAGGGCTTTTGACCCCCAAAGCCACTAGCGAAGCCTGAGAGGAGGGAGGAGACAGGAGGCAGGGACAGGGGTGGAGTGGGGGGGGGGAGGAGAGGGAGGGAGGGCGAGCGGAGGCAGGCAGGGCCAGATGCTGGCTGAGCTGAGCAGCAGCAGACTCAGAACTCCCTTCTGCCCACTCTGTGGAGACTGTGAACTTGGGGCGCTGTGTGCTCCCCCTGGCCGTGGCCCCAGGGACGGGACCCACCGAAGATGACGTGGATCTGTCTGTCCTGCATGCTCTGGGTAGGTTTGGCTGCTTGAACTAGGGGCTTGCCTTCCTACCCTCTTCCACCTTACCCTTCAGCCAAGAGCCGGTGGGGAGAGTGTTGGGCTTGCAGGGGGGACTTTGGTCTTTTTGCCTCTGACACACAGGACAGGCCCATTTTCACCCCATCGTGGGGCCCAGGCCACACTGTCTCCTGGTCAGTGTGTGCCCCTCTCACTGATCTTGCTCCCCGTTGAGGCCAGGAGCTGTAAGTAGGACACCATGAAGATGTCTGCCCCCACCCCAGCCCTCGACACTGGGGTGAAGTCTTCACCCTTCGGTTGCTCAGCCCGAGAGTGTGAGAAGGGGGTGTGGTGCGGCCCAGGAGGGGATATAGACCTAGAAAATGGAATCTGGAAAAGCCTAGTGCTGCGACTCCATCAATCTAGTCCTCTTAGAGCTAACTTCAGCTTCCGTCCACTGGGGTCCCTTCCTCCACAGCCCCCCCATTCTTACTAGGACCTCCTTGCTGCCCACCGCCCATGCCCACCTGGGAGGATGGAGCCACGGCCTCCCCCTTCTCTAGTCTCGGCTCCTGCTCAGGGAGGTGTGTTTAGGGGTAGACACGGTGTGGCCACTCGGAAGGGTTAAAAGTCTTGCATCAGGGCCAGAAACTCCTGGGAAAGAAGAAACCTGGGGGAGGGTGGTGGGCAGGGGTGGGAGACCCCCTCCTGGCGGCCTGAGCTGTTTGGGCTGGGTGAAGGCATGCACGGGTCAGGAGGGCGAGGAAGTCATCCCTGGCTGAGGTTAATGTCGGTCTTCCAGAGAGGGGTGGCTGTTTTGGGGGAGGGGGCTTCAGACTTGGATCCAGATGTGGCTTCCCTGCCTCGCTCACTGTGCCGGCCAGTCCTCTGGGAGGGCGCTCTAGGCCCAGGCAGGACCCCTGAGGGCAGCTGTGGGAGCTCAGACTCACGAGCAGTCAGGTGGACTTCGGGCAGAGAGGCTAGAATGAGGGACTTTGGGAGGAGTGCTGGGTTGGGGAGCTGGAGTGGGTGCGAATAAATAACTGGGTGTCTGCAGCGCCCCCCCCCCCCAGAGGATGCACAGCTGGTTCTCTGGGCCCTTGTTAGCATCCGGCCAGTGGGAGCCTTGGCCAAGTTCATTCTCCAGGTTTGTTCCAGCAGAAAGGCCTGCTGAGGACAGAGGTGAGCACGAGGGAGCCCTGCAGGGGAGGGGTGGCACTAGACTCCCAGGGGTGATGCTGCTCTGGAGGGAGACAGGACCCCTGCAGCTGGTGGAATCTGAGCCCAGAGGCTCTGCTTTGCCCAGAGCCTGTTTCCCTTTGTGTGAACTGCAGATAATGATGGGGGATGGAAAGGTGGATGGTGATCTAAGTGCCCCGTGGCTGTTACACCCCGAGGGCTGGGAGAGGTCCTTGGCCCAAGGCAGGTGTGGAGGTGGCCCTCTAAGCCCCTTCTTCCTGCTCCTGTCCTCTCTGCTAGCGTGCCAGCCCCGTTTTATCCCCTGAGCTTTGTGCTCTGGCCCCGTCCAGCCCAGCCCTGGGCGTCTGTCTCCGGAGCAGGCTGGCCTCTGGGAGAGCGAGGCCTGCACCAATCCCACGGCCCTGTCCACATGGGGCCTGTTGTCCTCACTCCAGCTGCCCGAGGCCATTGACTCAGCCCCTGCCTTCCTCAGGGGGAGCCTCAGGGGTTCATGTGTGCACTGTTTATGGGAAGTGGGCACTTTTCAGAGAAAGGCCCTGGGGACCTTGCCGAGGGGTCTGATTCCACCTCGAGGGGCACTTGGTGGTGGAAGCGTGTGGACTGGATGGCAGACAGGGCTAGGCTCAAATCCTGGTTTCCGTCATTTATGGGTGGGCAGTTTCGTTCGAACAGTTCCTTTCTTAGGTCTCAGTTTCCTAATCTGTCAAGTGGGGGAGTAATATACACCTTGCACCCCTGGGGTCAGGACAGGGTGCATCTATGTCAAAAGACCAGGTACTAAGCACACCGTAGGCACTCAGTCATGCTGGTCCCTCCCTGACTCTGCAACCTCCTGCTTGGCTCACTGGACCCCTGTACCCCAGATCTGATGTGGGGGCCAGAACTTCCTAGGATGCTGTGAGAGGATAGAGCCCCTCCCTACCTCTGAGATGCGCCACTGCTCAGGGCTCTGACAGTTATTCTGGCACAAGAACTGCCTGGGCCTTTGGCCACAGAGGTAAACTGAGGCACTTGTCTGTGTACGTGTATTCCTGGGTCGCTAAGTCATAGATCTGTAGTACAGAATTGTTGCTTTTAAAAAAGATTTATTTATTTATGCATACAGAACTGGGGTATAGGCCAGAGGTGCAGAGGGTGAGGGGATTTGCCGGAGACAGAGTGGGGAGCAGAGAAAGCAGGTTGACTGAAATACACTACTGAGGGGAGCAGCGGGTGAGACAGGAGAGGTCTGCTGTGCCACGTGGGTCAGCTCCCTGGCTGGGGATTGAGCTCATGCTGTATAGTGGCTGCTGAGAGCTTCATAGTGCTGTGCTTTAACCCCTTGCGTCATCAGGGAGGGCCCTGTAGTACATGGTTTTAATCAGCTCTAGGAGCAAAAATTCATTAGCTAAGGAGCACAGTTATATATCATGTATAACTTGATTTTCTTATGAGACGCTCCTTTTTTTTTTGCTATCATTTGTTCAAGTATGGTTTATTTAGAAAATCCTCACATGCGTAGGAATTGAGGCTTCTTGGTGTTGTACTGATGAAGGGAACATTCCAGAGGGGTGCCCTCTATTAGCTGCTGGGAAGGGGCTTCTTCGGGTGTGGCTCAAAGAGTCACAGGCAGGGCTGGGAGCCAAGTGCAGTCCTGGCCCTGCCCTGAGCATGTCATGTGGCCTCGGGCTGGCTGCTGGACTTCACAGAAATTTGGGTACTATTCTCTGAAGCCACTTACAGCTGTAGACAATGAAGTGTTCTCTTTCCTGGAGCCGCTGCTTAGCCTCCCAGTGCTCAGGATACACATTTTTGTTAGAAGGGTCCTCGTGAGCCCTCAGATTCCTGCAGACCCCATGACTGAACCCATGGCCCTAACTTGCTCTCCCTGGAGTTTTGTTCACCTGGAAGGGTGAGCCTCTCAGGGCCTCCTGACCATGGGTTTGGTAGCTAGACTGGGCTGCATGAGACTGTCCATTATCCGGAAGTTTCCTTTTGCAAACTTTTTCAAAATAATGCTTGAGGGTCCTGCCTGTTAGTGTAAGGGATTAATTCTCAGCACTACGAAGCTGTGCACAGCCACTGCAGCACCAGTTCAATCCCCAGCCCGGGAGTGACCCACAGCATCCAGCAGACCGCTCGTCTCGCCCGCTGCTCCCCTCAGCAGTGTGCTTCAGTAGATCTGCCTGTTCTGCTCCTCATTCTGTCTCTGGTGAATCCTCTCACCTCTGCACACCTCTGGCTTACACCCCAGCTCTTACACGCATAAATAAATAAATCTCTAAACCAATAATGCTTTAGGTGCAAAATCTGGGACAAATACTGTGCCTTTTTTACACACTGTTCAGAGGAGGATCTGTAGGTGAAGTGTGGTGGGTGGGCGTGAGCCTGGCTCTGCCATTTTGGTGGCTCTGTGATCTCAGGCAGGTAGCTTCAGAACACGGGGCCTCAGTTTCCCCACCTACCTACAGAATTGTTCGGTTTTACATGAACAAACACAGAATAGCATCTTTCCCATAGCAGGAGCTCAAGAAATGTTAGCTCTTCTGATGTGAGGGGACATTGTCAGGGCCTCGCAGGGAATCAAGTTGGGTGGGACAGTGGTGTGCACGCCCTGGGCACCAGGCCTCCCTGGGCAGGCGGCGCCACAGAGGCCAGAGCTGCGACTGCCCGCTGAGTTCACCTGCCTGCTGCCACCTGGCTCTCCTGAGCGGTGGGTGAGCAGCAGAGCTTCGCTGTGCCTTCCCTGCATGTATTTGTCCCACAGCTTTATTTGAAACTCACTATCGCTACGTGGCAGAGGGCACAGAAGGTGAAGAAGCCCGCAGCCGGGAAGGGGCAGGCTGATGGAGAGAGAGCCACCGCCTCAGGGTGGAGCAGGCTGAGGGCCGCCAGAGAGGGCCCAGGCCACGCAGGAGCCTCTGGGGAGTCCTCAGTACAGCTGCTCTCTCAGGGCTCCCTGCAGGCAAGGAGCTTCTGCTCAGCTAGGGGATGCAGCACCTGTCTGCGGTCCTGAATGGGGGAACCAGGTTCTCCGCCCTGAGGCCGGTCAGTGGGCGTGGGCGGAGGGAGCCCAGGCCAGGCAGCAACCACATTCAGTTTGCTCCTTCAGACTTGTTTTGGTGTGGTGCTGTGCTGGGACACACGCAGGGAGGGAGGGGGTTCTTGGCGACCCGACCTCTTGGGGGGGCTGGTCCAGTACACAAACAGGAACCACAAGAACCACAGCATGAGTCACTGCCCGTGTCTAGTGAGTGCTCCGTGGCGGCACCGGCCCCGGTGCCGAGCCGCACAGCCACCTGTAGGAGTTACTGGCACCTGCCCCCTTAGCAGACCAGTCACGTGAGGCACAGAGGGGCCACTGAGCGCAACTGTGGAGGGGCAGTGACCAAGCACAGGACGCTGGGATGCTTGGTTGAATCCAGTTGTGAGGACACGAGTAAACAGGTCCAGATGGAGGGAGATTCTGCAAAGCAATTGACCCGGATTCTTCAAAAACCTTAAGGCCACAAAAGAGAAACAAAAGGTGGGTGTCTTGGATGAAAGACGGTAGCCCTAGCTGTTAGATGCAACACAACATCTTATTTGCATCCTGAATCCCAAATAAAAACAAAGACCCAGCCCGCAGCATGCATGTTCCTGGGGTCAGGAACAAATAGAGAGGACCTTGAGCTGACGCCGCTGTCCCCAGGGTGGGGGTTATCTCATGTCACGTCGGGGCCACGACAGAGCCTCCGTGGGCAGAGGTGGCAAGGTGTTAGCAACCAGAGAAGGGCGTGTGCACGTCCCGTATTTTCTGGAGCTTTTAAACTTTCCAAAATAAAAAAGAAGTGGCG